CCCCCCCCCTTAAGTTCATTTATTTTGAGAGAGAGTGCACATGTAACCGGGCCAGGGGTAGAGAGGGAGAGAGAATCCCAGGCAGGCTCCACACTAGGAGTGCAGAGCCCGACACAAGGCTTGAACCCATGAACTGTGAGATCATGACTTGAGCCAAAATCAAGAGTTGGACGCTTAACCAACTGAGCCACCCGGGTCCCCCATGCGTATTTTCTTGTATTGACTTCTTTATTACATGATGGTAACCTGTAGACACTCTTGCACTCTGTGTTTCTCGCCTCGTAGGTCCTGGAAATGACATCAATTCCTAGAGCTCTTCTCATACTTTTTTACATCTGTAGGACTCCCTTTGCATGGAAGTGTCATGGTTTATTCAATCACTGTGTTTAGACATTAAGGTCACCTCCAAGTATTTTGCAGTTACAACCAACGTTGCAGTGAGCAACTCTGTGCATTATGTGCTTTTGCATTGTTGGAAGGTATCATCAGGGTATTTTCCTAGAAGTGACACTGCTGGGTCAACAGTGCGTGCGTTTTTGGCTTTATTAGTTTATGGCCAAGTTCCTCTCCAGAAAGGCAGGACGCGTTTGCACTTCACCAGCAACATCTGAGTTTCACCAATGGAATGTGTTGTCAAATTTTTCTTAACTTCTGCCAGTCTCCAACCTCATAGGTGAGAAATGGTATCTGTTTTAATTTGAATTTCTCTACGTTTGAATTTTTAAATTATATTTTAGGGACATTTAAAAATATTTTTAAAACTATTTTTTTTCTTGCATTTTCTAGGACTTTAAGTTTATTTATTTTGAGAGAGAGAGAGACAGAGAGAGAATGCAGGGGAAGGGAAGAGAGTGACGGAGAGAGAGAATACTGTATATACGCACGGGCCCTTTGAAGTTTCCCATCGTGACTTCAACCAAGTAAGTACTCTTATCTAGTAAATACCAATACAATACGAGATGCTCTACTATGGGACTAGGTTCTATTTTCATTTGAACACCAAAGCACATGTAAATTCTTATTCCCAAGAAACACAGGTTAGGTATATCCGTTTGACTCTCTGTATAGTCAATTGTTATTTATTATAAAGCAGGGTTTTCTTTCTTTGCATTATTGTCGTTTATTTATTACATTTCATTATTTTATTACTGACTATAATCAAACCCTATGCTGTCAACCTTAGTACTGAGCTTCGATACGGTTTAACTAGCTGTAAGAGAATGAATATTTAATATGTTCCAAAGCCAGACATAATTCATTGTTTGAATGATTAGACACATTTTGGGATCATTTACCTTCCCACCCTCTTGACTGTTAGAAGATAAATAGGGACTATTTTCCTGCTAACAGGCTATTTTAAAATTAAAAACAACCTGTGTATGAAGATCGAGTTCAGCTCCCATGCTGTTTGAATTATATTATCAAATTATATGCTACTTTTTCACAAAGCTGCTCCTGATTCAGTTGTCTTTGATTCGGAAGACAGATAGTAACACTGCCTTTATGAAGATGAAGTCCAAAGGTAACTTTGGAATGTTACCTGTTAAGACACTGAAAGTTGTTATTTATTTTGTTAGTGACTGATTTTCTAGCTCTTGAATGTATCCGTAGATGCTGCAAAAGTTGATCAAAGATCAATTAAAGACTCAATGATGGTATTAAACATTCCATGATGACAGGGGCCAACATCACATGTTCATGACAGGGATAAGAAAATGAGCGAAGAGTAGAAACCAGACACTGACACTGCTCTTGTCAACTGACGCGGAGGGATTCGTCGCATGTATTTCTGAAGGGCAGATGAGATTTGCAGAGAAAAGTAGTAACGAATTATAGAAGTCTACTACTCACCCCTGCTGCCCAAGACTAAAGCCGACTAAGGTTGCTGCGGTAGGGGCCGTAGGAGGGCTCCGTGTTTCCTTAGGGTATGAAAATACACGTGCTCATCTGCTGTTGTTTTTACAAGGAGTTTCCCCTCTTACGCTCAGGGGACACAGCGTGGAAAAGAAACACGTTAAGCTTTTGGAAAAGTTAACAACGGCTTAAAAGCAGCAGTTTCCAAAGACGCATCCCCTTCCTGGCGTAGAGCATAACAAGCCCGTGTTGCCCCGACTTCTTCTACTCATCACTGAGGAGCGTGAATTGTTAAGAGCAGTACATTTGAGTTGTGCACGTTAAGGAAAGACAAGTTGATAATAACAATACTCGGGTAACTTGATTTTCTCTCACCTGTCCCTCTGGCCTCCAGGAGCTAGTGAAAACAAACCTAAGATAACATTAGGTGATTTCCCGCAAGAGTGATGTCAGACCTTTGACAGAGTATTGCTGAATCTTCAGGGAACACCTGCGGAGAGTTGCTGAAGTGAGTGAATTCAAGGTAGGTTCATACTCAGAACTTCTTTATTAACCCTTCTTATAGTTTGGATGTACCTTTGTGCTCACCGAGAAGTAGGGAATACTTCCCTCCATCATCAGCAACCAAAAGAATTTCAGTATTGAAGAGGGTGATCACATTTAAGCAAAATTTTTACAAAGGGTGTTAAACATGCTGACCCTTTAAAAGATCTGCTTTTTAAATAAGCGTAAAAGCTGTGGACTACAAAAAGACATTAAAAAATGATGTGGTCATAATAAAAAAGAACACTTTTATACATAGGATTTTATTTTGCACTGCTGTAACAATTTCATTATAGACCAAGGGAGAGAGAGAGAAAAAAAAAAAAAAAAGGATAAAAACCACCACACTGAGTAAATTACTAAAGCTTTTCTACTTTCAACAGGATTTTCCATCTGGTAGATTTATTGTCGTATCCCCTTCAAAACAGACAAGATGCTTACCATATTTTAAAGATTATAGGTTGCCACTGAAAGAAAAATTTTACACAGTCACTGTACATCAAGGTTGAAAAACTGTCCTGCATGAAAAATATACTTAGAAATCATGGGAATAAAAGCAAAAGAAAACATTATTGTGTTGAAGGAAAGATTAAAGTCCTCACAATGCGCCATCTAAATGTGGACATTCATTCTTCTTGGAGTCGCTCAGGTGTAGGGAGTTCGTGCTTCTGCCCAGTTCACTCATTATACTGTGTTTTTACCCGACAGTATTCATTAAGGCAAACAAATCCTTTTCTGAAGAGATCTTAAAGAAACTGTGGACATACAGCAAACTTTTGGCATTAAAACAGGTTAACGCACACATAGCCTTTAGTAAATGTACATTAAGCATATTTTCTTGGACTAGTGACAAGAAAGGATGAACATGCTTGTTAACAATGTCAAAAAGTTTAAAATTCAGTGTCCGAGCAATTCCTAACAATGCTTCTGTAGCTTTAAGCTCTAAACAGTATAGAATTTATGCAAATGCATTAAAGAATTCAAGCTTGGCAAATTACACCCAAGCAGGTTAAACTGTATATACAGAAAGTAAATGATAAATACAGAATTAAAGGAGTCCTGGTTTTCCTTATAGCCTTGAAAACTGACAAACTTCTTGAGGACAGTTCTGTAATATTAAACATTAGGTCACCACGGGTGTTGGGAAACCTAACCACACAAACTGATTTAAAATGCTCAAGATGACTCTGTAGTGTTTAATACAGTTCAGTTCATAGGTAAGGGCACAAGACAACATTTAACAAAAATAATCACATCAATTGACCTAGAAATCAAATGCAAATAGATATGAATACAATCTCCAAAATCTGTCTTTTTAAGTGAACATTAACCATTTATTCAAAGTTATACAAGAATTTGAAGGATTAAAGTCTCCTGTGACATAAAGCCATTTCAAACAGTTTCATGTCGCAGCTGAGCAGGAGGACAGAGTGAAAGAGGAAGTGAGTAGCCGCATTGGGGCAGCGAGACAGTAAACAGGGACTCAACAGCAGCCGCCCCCGGCCTGCTGTCCTCCCTGATTGCCCGCGTGTGTGGCATTGGTAGCAGCGTGCTGAGGGCCAATTTTAATGCCATTTGCCTGAAATAAAAGGGGAAAGGGATTAAAAAAAAAAAAAGTTAACGGGATCCAACCAGATAATACGGTTTAACTAAATTTAAAGAACCCCGTGGAATTCCCAAGGACATGATTTTACCCAACAACTCAGAAAAACAATACAGATGAAGCAGATTTTCGCAACACTGGAAGGAGTGTCTCCCAGGGGCCGGGATGTTCCTTCCTTTTAAAAATAATCCTGTGGAAATGTTTCTGAAAAGAATTCCTCATCACACCAGGTACTTAGGAGTAAAGGGGAACCAGGCAGCGCTGCCCTTCAGGGCATTCTCACGACGGAGAAACCGTCTGAGAGCGGGTGTGCCGGCAACCTTTGAGAGAGAAACGCAGGCAGAGTCTGCGCGGCTCCACGATACAACGTAAGGCCTTTTCTCTGGACGGCATTTCTGTTCCGTGTTGAGTCAGCTGTACGGGCTAAGGGCATATGAGTGTTCTGTGTCATCAATAATTTCTATGATCCCCAAAGACATGGCAGCTTGCCAAGAAGCCACACACAGAGTAGTTCTTTCATTCATCAAACTCACACTTCTGTCTTAACCCGCACTCCCTCAAGTGGGTTTTACCTAAAAATACAACACTTTGAGCAAAGTAATACGGTAGCTTCAGAAATTAAGCTCTTAAGGAAACTTGACGTCACAGTAAATCTCAGATTTATAGTGCTTGGCAGTTGTTCTGCAACGGTAGTGCCTTGGGGTTTCTGGCACTAGCTCAGTATTGACAGCAGCTGATGTGGTTTCTTTTCGCTCTTTTGACTCCTCTTTAATAAAAAGCATGCCCTATGGCTCATTGGTTTTGCCCCCTCTGGGCTGGTAGCAGCTTCTTGAGGAATCAAGGAGTCAGACTTGGCACCGGGCCAAATAAATCGCACGGCCTGTTGGCTCCTGACAGCACATTACAATCAAAGCTGCGGCAGGCACAGCAAAGCAGTCAGCTACTATATGAAACCAGGCAGAAACAGCGAGTGTGCCCTTTGAAACAGAGGCCCAGTGGCTGTTCAGTTTCTACGGCATTAGTCTCCGCACGGTGTCGTCTTTAAATTAACTCAAAATCTACTGCCGCGTGAGCTCAGAAGATAGGATTGAGAAAACATACTCCTCCGGATTAAAAGAAATGAGAAAATCGAGTACTTTCTGGAAACCTCAGGCAAACGGTCGTCTGTTTTAGCAAAGAATATGGAGGCAAATAATGAAGAGCCTCATTCATGTACAGGCCAAGAGCCACACGTGCAGTAAAGGATTTCTAACACGAAGCTTTCCTAATTGCAACTCTAGGAGGAGTAAGGGCTTTTCTCTCGGAAGCACAAAGTCTTACCATGGGAATGGCAAAAATATTTATGTAAGACTAAATAAGACACTGCGTATTCACATAAACATTCTGAAATAAGTAAGAATAAATGCATAGTGGGGATTTAGGTCAGAACGATGCCCTTCAGTAAACACTCTGGATTGTATGCTTCGAGGCTTTGTATTTTATCCTAATCGTATTCATCAAAACTGGCTCAAAGTAATTCTACAAAAAGGACAAAAACAAAACCAAAAACAACGCTAATTGCCAATTACATACATTAGTCTCATGAAAACATACGATGCTATACAGGGAGTAATTTCCAAACTAGATACGTCCCTCTTTCATACTAGACAACAGAGAGAGCATCCTGCATTAGTAGCATAGTATGGGCATTTACACACTAGAAAATGATTCCCCAAAGCAGATGACACCAGATGGACGTGTGGATGAAAGTGGAATTTCTCCTCTCTTTGGAGGATTTATCTTATTTTGCATTGCTTGCAATAAATGGATAGGGTTACTTATTTTAATCCATCTTCAGAAAGTGATGCTCTATTAGAACATAAACATTTACCCATTAGAAACATATAACACATTTTTGGTTAGATGATCATAAACTTAGTGTGTTAACTGACGTCATAAATTCATTTTAGGAATTAAAAAGAATAGAAAATCATGAATCTATGTAGTAACTAAAATTCAATTCTAAATTAATATTAGCCAATAACACACACACACACACACATACCTCATTATTAATGTCAAAGACTCCTTCTTGGATTTTTTCATAAATTTCTTTCGCTGTATTAATAAATGCCTGAAATATAAAGTAGAGAAACTGATTCCAATTATATAAAACCACAACAGTAAAACATTATATAAAAACTCTGTAGAATATCATGACGTTCCATACAAGAAAATCAACCAATGTAATACACCATATTAACCAATAGAATAAAAGAGAAAACCCATATGATCACTTCAAAAGAGGCAGAAGCCGCATTTAACAAAATCTAACAACCTTTCATGATAAAAACACTCAACAGAATAGGACCACAAGGGGATTTCCTCAACCTGATAAATAGCATCTATGAAAAATTCACAGCTAACATCACAGCAAATGGTGAAGACTGAACATTTTCCTAAAGATCAAGATCAACCACAAGGCAAGGATGTATATGAATGTTCATTATTTGTAACAACAGCCGAAAAGTGGAAACAACACAGATGTTAGTCCACTGAGGAATGAAAACCAAAAGGTGGTATAACCTTATAATACATATTACTCGGCCTTCAAAAAAAAAATGAAGTACTGATTCATACTACAATGTGGATGAACCTTGAAGACATCATGCTAAGTAAAAGCAGCTACATATAAAAGACCACGCATGGTAGGATTCCATTTACTGAAATGTCCAGAAGAGGTCAACCCGTGGAGAGAAAAAGTAGATTCTTGGGATTAGGAGAAATGGAGAGTGACTGCTAATGCGTATGGGGTTTCTTCTGGGGTGATAAAAATGTTCTGGAATCAGACAGTAGTGATGGTTGTGCCACTCTGTGAATACACTAAAACCCACTGAATCGTACCCTGAAAAAGGGCCTATTTTATGGTGTATGAACTATATCCCAAAAGAAAAATTCACCCTGGCGGGGCGGGGAGGGGATGTGCCGCAGAAATACCATAACATGAGAAGAGCACACACGAGGAAAAGACGTCAGTGAGGATGAACTCCAAAGGCTTCCATGCTGAAACGAGCTTACTTTCAGAGGCCACTGTTCCACACAGGATCGTTTTTGTCAGGACAATGTATTACTTAACACACAGTTTAAGAGGGAAAGAATCAACGGAAACTTACGATAAAGAGATAAAAAGCTGTTCAACTTTTATGCCACACTGAATAAAGTTTCACCCTTTTTCCACATAGCAACTACTAAGTTGACAAAAAAAATCAGTGTTAAAATACTAAACCAAATTAAGCCTCTAAATACCAAAATTAACCCACAAGCATTCTATATTTATATAAAATATTAAGCAGTCGGTAGAGCATGTGACTGACCCTTGATCTTGGGTTTGTGAGTTCTAGCCCCATTCTGGGGGTAGAGATTACTTAAAAAATAACTAACTATGGGGCGCCTGGGTGGCTCAGTCGGTTGAGCGTCCGACTTCGGCTCAGGTCATGATCTCACGGCTCGTGAGTTCAAGCCCCACGTCGGGCTCTGTGCTGACAGCTCAGAGCCTGGAGCCTGCTTTGGGTTCTGTGTCTCCCTCACTCTCTCTCTGCCCCTCCCCCGCTCACCCTCTGTCTCTTTTTCTTTCTCAAAAATAAATAAACATTAAAAAAAATAACTAAAATAAAAAATAAATATTAAGGCATTTTACATAAATATTGCCAATGCTACAGAAGGGGTTTATAAACTCACGTTCTAACCAATCCGACCTGAGAGGTCACAGATCATAGTATGAATATTATAAACCAGGTCCTCTTCAGTGGGCAGTCTATGAAAATCCACAAAACCAGGCTATTCTCCACCAGCACTGATACAGATTTAATTCCAAATTTAAAAAGTAAACAGGTTCATGGAGAGGAACCAATCATACCTTTCGTCTTTTCTACACTGGAAGCATCTGACTGCTGAACTTGCCACCGGAGCTTTTGTTTCCTAATTAACAGGACTGATATGTTTTCACCTTTAAAGGCCTTACAGCTCCCCAGAGTAATCAATCTACTGCGGCTCAATTACCGCACCAAGAACACACCAGTCAGCGAAGGAGACGTGAGCGACTGCGGCAGGAGCGCAGAGATATGAATATGCATAAACTCTAAGTGGCTGATCGAATCATCAGAGAGGGTCACGAGAATTTGCAGCAAAATAATGAGAAGAATTAATCACTGCAGATTCACAAGGCACTTAGGAAGCAAGCGCGCTTTTCGTGTGTGTGCTGAGTTACAGCGACGTGAAGGAGACACTGGCTTCCGGCCAACTATGAATTGATTCACGTTCTTCAAAACTGAAGTTAACCCTTATAAATAAAGGAAAATTTAACTTTATTTCCAATAACATGTCAATTATGGCGATGACCTTAGAAACCAGGCTAACTAAATATTGAAGTCAACAGATTCATAAATTCACAGGGCTGGAAATCCTTGAAGGGACACCCGCATGTGTACATCTCCCTAGAACATCAGACAGAACTGCAGGATCCCATAAACGAGTTCATACAAACAGGCATTTGTACCATGAAAGTCATTACCTGTGCCAATTTATGTAATAAATGGACTTTTTTCCTAATCTGTTGATGAATTATTTTAAAAACTGGCTCCAGAGAGATATGCTATATGAAATTTCCTACGTCACTTCTAATTTTATTACACGAATAGTACTTAATACTTGATTAAGTAGCTTTAAGAACAATTGTACCCAATGAACTTAAGATGTATTTTGGATCTGAAAAAACGTAGTTAATTTCATCACAATTGAAATATAACAAATGGTTATATTTTCTTTCACGATTCCCACCATCTCAATGAAATCGTCTTCAATGCTACATTTACTTGCCATCCAACTCATGATTATATATTGCAAACACTGAAATATCTTCCACCCCCTCCAGGCATATATTGTAAGAAGAACACTATATATATATATATATGTTAGAACACTAACATATATGGTGTTAAATATATATAAGAACACACACACATATATATGGGTTGTTTTATCTACATGGCAGCAAAATTAATAATACTTAATATGTATTATTAAATGATTAATTAATGATTAATTTTAAGGAGTCCTCAGTTTAAAACCTAATATAATAAATATAGACATCAGTGCACGTGTTTTAAAAGTCTGCGGCTATAGACAAATTGTTGAATCCGCAAATATAATGAAATTACCCAAACACTGTTAAGGCTTATTCGCCACGAAATGAAACTTCTAAGATACGAGCCTTGGGTGTTACAGACAATAGCTGTCCCCTAAAGCTGCAAGCACGTTAAGAAGTCGGAAAGACAAGACATGCCTCTTACAATAATTGGCTAGTATTTTAATTGCTCATTTTGTTCTAGTCACTAAAAAGCAGTCCCCATATGTATTTTTCAAGGTAGAGATGTAACAATGTGAAATGTCTCTAGAACACAGACAAAAATGAGGCAATGAGCAATGATTCAACTAGATACTACTACAAAGCTTTACATTAAAACTCGTTGTGCTTTCACAGGACAGTCTTAAACTTGAGATTCCTTCCGATTTTAACCAGTTTCACTTTTTCGATTTCCCAAGCTATACAAACAAATCCTGAGGTGGGGGCAGGGGGAAGAAAAGGGGAGCCTGTGTGAGGGGCGTGGCTGGGAGTGCGAGGCGGGGATGAACATGTGCAGTATCAGAGGCAGAGGCAATGGGGGAGCCTGCGTAGGGCGGCAGCTGTGGGGGCAGCAGACTTGTGGAATCTCACAGCTCCTGACGGTGGATGGGGTACGGCGCTGTTGATGATGGCTCGTCTTTAAGGAGAGGCTGTAACCTAGGGAATTAATCTGCAATACCTATTTATTATCAGAAAAATGAAGCAAGCTGATGGCACACCTACAGAAAAGTTTTAACGCTAACTTAACATTAGTGCAATACTTTCAAAACAAGATCACCGCGGGCTTTGTGACCCATCAGGCGGAACTGTAAGCAGGAACATCAGAACGACAGTCAAATCTGAATATTAATAAAGAGGTTGCGGAAGAAGAAGAAAACATTTGCTGAGAAACCCAGGTCAAAGGATTTTGTCATTAGCACTGTGAAACAAACACTATCTAGGCAGGTCCACAATTATGCACAGGTAGCCAAGTGCATTTGGTAAGCCTCTTGCTTTCCTGCCCGGGACTCACGCCAGTATCAGAGGCCCGACTCTCTCTTCATTTCACCATTAGCTCTCCCTCTCTGCCCTACTTTGATTAATTGCCACGGTCAGTCCTTCACCTTCGTTAGCCATTAATTGCCTTCCACCTCTGACACTAATCTTTCAACCGTTGGCAGTAGTTATCTAATGGTCCTAATACCCAAATTTAAGTAAATTTTCAGTGACTTCCATAGCAAACATTAAAATAAACATAACCATAAAGAAGTACAAATGCATTAAATTCAAATAAATATTCAACACACAAGCTGATGCACAGCCTATCATTTGTCATTTCACCCTTGGGTGAAAGGGCACCTATTAAATTGTTACCTTAGACTCAGCACTTCCCTAGGTACTATGGAAGATACAGGGAAGAGGTGGATACAATTCCTACTGCTGCCAAACTAAATTTAGTTGGGAGAATCTGAGCACAGGGGCTTAAATCTCTATTGAAGATGCAGGAAAAATACACCTTCCGCGCTGACAGAGGGAGAACGTGTGCAGGGCGGGACTAAGGCAGGCCCAGATGCAGGCCAAGGACAACGTGCCTTTCTTCACAGCCGACGAGACAGAATAGAGGCAAAGGGAAAAATAGAGTAACATGTCATTTTTCTTACGGTTTAACAGTTTTTAAAGCAAAATAGTGAAAATAAATTGTCTGCTACAGAGTAGAAGATTTTAAATTATTTCCTTATGTAACATGCTGCCATCTGGTGGCAAGAAACAAATGTCTAACATCTGCGAGGTAAGAATTCCAAATAAATCAAAGTATCTCAGTTTCATTTAAACATCTTGAACAGGTGCACTCGGCTGGCTCAGTCGGTGAAGCACGCGACTCTTGATCTCGGGGTTGTGAGTTCAAGCCCTATGTTGGATGTAGAGATTACTTAAGAATAAAATCTTTAAGAAAAAATAAACATCCTGAATAG